TAGGGAGGAAATAGTTATCGAGCTTTTTTATGGCCAGTTCAAAACTATCTACTCCTTCCTGTACTGCGCTAGTGTCTGGCAAGTTCTAAAATATATCCTGAAGCCCGGTTCCGCCTAACAATAGCAATGTTGCTCTCTTTTTATTTGGACATTGTATATCGGCTGCTTCGAGATAAATTCTTAGGGATCTTTTCCATTTCTCCCATCGTAAGCCTACTGACGTGCTGTCTCCATCTAGCTCTAGTTTTTCCGGTGACGGTAACAAATTTGACATCCCGAATCGGTGGGTACCTATTTCTTTTACCTCGTCGCCACTTGTAGAACTTTTATAGAATAATATTCACTACACGTAACACTGGCTCACTATAACACCAAGTCCAGCTGGGTACACGTCCTACCTCGGAGCACTCCACAAGGCAACTGCTCGCCGGCACTCAGTGCAACAACCGAATGACGTGTTACCCCCCACCACTTGTGTATATGAGACAGTGTATTGAATCTATTGTATAGACACAACACTACACTGCTCAAATGGTATATAATTTAGTTAATATTTTGTGTAAATAATTTAACAAATTGTAGTGTGTTATTTAGTTATAAGGTACAATGGGACTGACATATTAAAAATAACAAAGTCCCTAAATTAAAAGGAATAATAAAAAAAAATTATTCAAAAACATCTGCTTGCAACATTCAACTGGAGATGACGCATTTCCATTCCGTTGCAAAGACGAAACTGATGGGACGGCTTCTTAATTGCTAAAGTTGTTAACACTGCCATTAGGTGACGCCATAGGAGTATATTAACTACGCATAATATTGTGAAGACCATTGTTTGCATAACTGGAATTGACTCCTCACTGTGACATCGAGCAGACGAGTCAATATTTTCTTGACACTGGTGATTGGTTGATATAAGATCCTATGAGTATATAAATAATTATTCATTCATAGGACACCAGCAGTGCAGTAATGTGTAAATTTTTATTGAAAGGAGGCTTTTTTTATTGAATCTAGGGACACCGTTTTGTAGAAGTGGAGTAAGCAAGAGGGTATGATAAGAGTAAGTTTTTTTTATAGAATAAAGGTGACAAACGAGCACACAGTCCACATGACGGTAAGTGGATGCTGTGGCACATAGATATCTACATTTAACCTCGATTAAGAATCAAAATGCAGCTGCGTTATCACCCCTGAGGACTAAGATGGAATGCCTCGATTGCAGTAAAACGGGTCTCCGGTTCTCTACACTCACCATATGAAACACAGTAGCATCAGGCTGCTATTTCACGCTGGTATTCTGTGAGAGCGTGGTCCTGCCCCGGTCGAGCCGACCCATTCGTGCTACAACCATAATATAGCTGCAGCATGGCTCTACCACATATGAAAAGTGGAGTAAAATATCCATCATCCCATCTCAAGGGTATCGTAAAAAACAACTGTGGGAAATGCCATGTTATAGTCATCTCGTTAACGTAAAATACCCTTACTGGAGATGGACGGACTGAAAGATACTCACCAAGTTTGAAAATTAAAATCAATATTAAAAACAAATATTCGTCGCACAACAGTGTTACGTACACTGTATATATATATATATATATATATATATATATATATATATATATATATAATTGTGAAAGTAATATGACACATGTGCTCGACTAGTGGACACAGTCTGATTTTTTACTCAGTGTGGTTGAGAAACTGTCAACCTTTGAGCATGCAAACTCAGGTCGAGTATTTCTTACTTTAAAAGGCTTTTAACACTCCCATCTACGCCGTATGCATATTTGACCAGCCGAAGTAAGTGTGCCTACACGATAAGCCGTACGCTGGAAGCTTAGCCATGAGACTAGCGTGCCAAACTCTGTCAAAGGCCTTCGAGACATCAAGGGAAACAGCAAGTGCTTACCCATTGTTGGTTTTAAGAACCTTGTTGGTGATAGGGTCCTCTGATATAGAGCTACCGCAGTGAGGCAATTGGGATGGTACGCTGTTGCTACTGTTTGAAGCATCGCACAAAGGGGAGATCGAGATAATAGAAAACACTGTATAGTGTATTCTATTTCATTCTCTCGCAGGATAAATTCCATACAAGTATATGTTTGTCTCTTTTTTAGTTTCATCGAGTTTCAAATCACAACGATTCTAAAGCAGTTTTCATTTATAAAAACATACAATGGAATTCAGGCCTTTAACTTTGAGTATTCAACCAACTGGAGAGGCCATGCGCGTTAATTCCTAAACAAAAACTCTGTCAACATCAGGGGGGCGCAAGATAAACACACAACTGTATACTTAACTACAAATGCAAAATTAAATCGTGTCACTATAAACGCACACTACAACATTTGTATTTGTGTTCATCGCGTTTACGCATACCATCAAATCGTACACGTGTCGATACACTGATAGCGCTGGCTGAATGCGTAAGCAACGTAAGGCGTGGACTATGTCGATATTTTTTATCGATAAACAAATCACCATAGTCCGCACAAGTTTTTATTTGATTATAAGTAATACATAGATAAATAATACCAAGGTGTTATTTGAAATTCTTCTTTTAAAGTATTTAAAAATGATCTTCGGAAAAAAGCTTATAAATTATTGAAAGAAACTTTATTATTTTGCTACAGGTTTATTTTACATTATGCAGGATAAAATTTAAAATATTTAACAAATCAAAATAAGAGGTTTAGTTAACTTATTTTAAAAATCAGATTTATGAAAAAAAATCCTTTTATCATCTTAGATGGTGTTAACCAAGTTTTTATTTTTATTATAAGGCTTCAATCACAAAACCGCTATTTATAAAAAGTTGTTGATTTTGAAGAGTTACTATATGAACTATCTGGAAAATATTTAATAAACTAGGAAAATAAAAAAGTTTTACACTGTATAACAGTTGAACAAAGTGAACTTTAAACAGACAGCTGTTTAAAAATAAAATGTGACATCTACCTAGGGCTAAATATTCCCCAGAAAGATGTTTTGCTAAACTAATGTACGATTGATGGCCGACGACTTGGCTACACAAAAAAAGTGTTAACTGTTTTAAAACTTAGACTAGAGAGTAACACTGACAAGAAATTGTATTGTATATTATATTAGTGATAGATGAAGTGAAAATAAAACAATTGACGGAGTACTATGCCAGTTCTAAAAGACATTTTGGTTATATACATAATGCCTTTGGCTGCTAGAATGGTATTCCGTCAATTTTTTTGCCTAATTTTCATTTCATCCATGACCAAAGTACAATAAATTTTGTTATCAGGGTTACTCTCCGCTCTCAATTTTAATGCCGTCAGCGCTTCTTGAGTAAACCCTGGTCGGCGATCGATGGTAGTGTATCACTTAGTCAAATGTCCGTGGTGCAGGCAAACATGTTCCAAAAGTTTTACGTACATAGCGATAGGCTTTTTGGTGAGTAATAGTTAAGTGTTAGGGTAAAGTATTTCTTGCAAAGTTGTGAATCCTGTTTATGCTATTGTTTTTATGTCGGGGCATTTTTCAGTTTAATTTTCTTTGGCCTAAGTGTTGGCTCGTACTGGCAGTGAGAGTAGGACAAGTTTGGGCTATATAAAGATTTTTTTTCGAATTGTGACTTTCGAGACAACTAATGGAATTTTTCCAGAACATCCAGCTTTCTTCTTTCGATGTTGCTGATGTTGTGCAATCACCACGATCACCCTAAAATAAATAATTTTCTTGTATATATATGTATATAAGTATATGAATTAAATTTGATAGATTAATGCTTTTGTAAACTTAATAAAATATTTTCAAGTAGAACAATATTGGGGTCACAAAGGTAATAATAAAAATATTTAATCTAAATCTAATTACAGCCAAACATTACCTCACACAAGTTCATGGTTGGTACTGAAGTGTCAGCTAAGCTTCTTTTATTGTAAGCTTGGGGTATGAAATATGATTTTTCAAAATGTTCGGAGCAAATGGTGCTAGTCCGTTTGGGTATCCAAGATTCATGGTTTCTACAAGCTACAATCCAAGTTTGTCGCCTAAAAGGATCCTTTTATCGTATCTGTAAAAACAACCAATAATAGAAAAATTTACAACTTTTTGTAATACTTTACTGTAAAAGCTAAATATAAACTACAAACCGGTTCGGCAGACAAACCCGCATGGTTAACTAACTTATCGATAGTTAAAGTTGTGGCGTCCGTCATTGTAGTGCAATACTTTCGGTTGCAGTGATACCAGTTTATTTTTATAAAAATTGCACACTTTTGCTGCGAAGTAGCAAGTTTCGATTTGACTTATTTGGCCTTTATTTTGTATAATATTTTGATAAATACTAGTTATAGATTATGTTAAATTATATAATATTCAGTATTGTGTTGAAATTGTGCTGAATATATAAATCATTTAACAAAATCCACTACACATCTATATGTAGTGATTATTATTCATCACACTGATTTAGTTATTAGAAAATATATTTTCGTTAATATATTTAACTTGTGTAGTAAATTATATTTATTTAAAAATAGATTATTTTTCACTTTATGAATTATGATGGCCACACTTGGTATTGGACGAAAATATTCACAAAGTACGAGTTTTAATGATAAAATTACTTTAATACTATGTTAAAAATACTCACAGATAAAAAATCACCTTGTCCTTTTGTATACTTGACGTTTTTGATTGTTTTTTTTTCATGTAAATACACTGAAATTCGGTATTTTGTCGGAGCTCGATTTAGTGGCACGATCACTTCGGAATGACGTACGACGCGGAGCAACTAGTTTTATATAACGAGTATGAGTCGGACTCTCGTACCTTTTACAGAGGGTTATGCCTTGCGATGCCGTCTCCTTTGGTTTAATACTCAAAGGCCTTTAAGCATATATAGATATTTTGTTCAACCCGGCTTTTAAGCGAGTTAGCTTTAAGAGACAAATATATACATGTATAGCAATAAAAGGTGAGACCTTTTCAAAATCATTTTAGAATGTTCCTTATTCCAGGTTATGGTTCAGTCCCCGCTGTCCCCCTTTACCTGCGGGTGCTATGCCCCACGACGGTGAGTCCCCCACCATGTTCAAGCGGTCGCTGCTTCGATACCTCCACCACTACCAGATGCCCCAGCTTTCGTACTACGTGGATTGGGTCAAGAAATGCGACTTCAGCCATATTAAGTATGTATGTATGTAACCCCTGTAGTTCCCGTTAAGTGCATTTTCAGCATATTCAAACATTTATCGACTGTAAAATTCAATCAATTTAAATTTAAATATGTTTTAATTTGCAAATTGTATGTCAGTTTATTACCTCTGCATTGATCCGGGAGTAAGTGTATTGTCAACGACCCCGATTTACTAGTTGTTTCAGTCAGTTCAAATGTAAACAACATTTTTTTCACAAGATTAAATTTAGTAAGTTATCTATTGTAAACACTAAAACCCCTTGAATAACGACTAAATAAAATCACTATGATTTCTTATATTTAACCGAACACAACACATTAAATGAAACTAATTTTACAGATTTTATCGCCTTTAATTTAACTTTTTAATTCCCGATTCCTCACCCGTGACCATGGGTGCTGTAAAGCACCCATGGTCACGGGTGAGGAATCGGGACTCGAGGAAACTCGGGAATCGGGACTCGAGGGATCGAGACTGAGGTGATTGACATTCCGATGTCATAGTTAGCCTGGCTGCCTTTAGATTTTTAGTTTAAAATCACTGTCATAATTGTCATGCCTATATTTTTTATACAATAAGGGTGACAAACGAGTCGAGCACATAGTCCCCCTGATGGTAAGTGGATGCTGTGGTCCATAGACGTCTACATCTATCCTCGATTAAAAATTTTTGTTTGCTTTGTCACCCCTGAGGACTAAGATGAAATAGCTCATAGTTGTAATTGCTGTAATTATTCAGACTGAAATACAGTAGTACAAGCGAGTTGCGAAGGAGTTCTAGCATCTAAATACTATAATACACAATATTGTTGTACGAGATTCGGCGTCGCCGGGAGCATACATACAAGCAATTACGTTGTATTATCAGTTATCACTACTACAAACCCGATTCGCTGTGTTGACAGACGGAGTAAATTTACATATTTTAGATGTTTGATTAATATTCAAAATCATCATTAAAAAAAATCTTTTAAATTTTAATAAATATTTTTATAAATATATAAATACAAATATAAAATAATTGCACACTATTAAGTAAATAGTACTAGTAAGTACTACATAATAATAATAATGTCCTCCAGACCGAATTTCGGTCACGGCGGCCTGCCTCAACTGAGACTAGCCATCGGCGCAGGACAGGATTATATTGCCCAAGTGTACGTGCAAGCACAGGTGCACTCTCTATTCCCTCACTCTCATAATCTAATGGGACGGTAAACCGTCACTACCAGAGAGAGATCAGGCGCAGGACCAACGGCTTTACGCGATTTCCGAGACAGGGGGTGAGACACCGCCAACTGTCTGACTCCGGGCAGTTACCGAGAATCTTGACAAAAAAACTCAATAATTGATCTTTTGGCCCGACCTGGGATTCGAACCCAGGACCTCATGATCAGCAGTCGCAATACTACAACCACTAGACCAACGAGGCAGTCATTGTATTCAAAATTATTGTAAATATGAATGTTGTGTGCGTAATAAAACAATATCGAAATAGCTGTCCTCCGCGACATGAGATGTGTGTGTGTGACAGTCCTTACTCAACGTAACTATTTGATTAGTTAGCTATCGATAGGTGTATTAACATATTGGATGTAGACGATAGATATTTAGCTGTAATACCAAACTGTATCCCCCGAGTTTGTTGTCATTTCTGTATTGCCTCCAACCGTTACAGCCTATTAAAGTCCACTGCTGACCTCCTCTTCCTTGCCTCGCCAATAGATTCCCTCATACGGAGAATATTTGGCATAGTTGCCAAGTCGGTTGGCAACTTCAGTTTATTTTTTTATTTTCAATCGTTATTAGGAATCGATCTATATAGGATCGAGATAAGATCGAGTGGCAGCCTCGTACCGGCAGGCGAGGTGTAGGGCGTCCCCCCACTAGATGGGGTGACGACCTGGTAAGTCATACAGGAATCACGTGGTTTGTTTCCTCTATCACATCTTACGACACCCACGGGATGATGTGGGGTAGAGATATTGTTAACCGTCACTACGCGGTACTTATTATGGTAGCAATTTTGAAGACGTATTCAAGTCGAAATTTTCTTCTCCAGCGTGTTTTTGGTGGCATCAACCCCTGGGTCCCATTTTGACGCGGAATGGGGAATGACCCGTGCGGGCAGTCTGCTGCGGCAGCACTGTCGCGTCCCGCCGCAGGAAAACTCAAAATGGCCGCTCATTGCTCAAGCGAGTAGCTTGGGCAGCTACGGGAAGGAGCCGAAGGTGAGTTGGTCTCTTGAGCACAAGCTAGTGAACTAGGCAGTATTCGGGAAATTACTACACATCTCAGGTATTCCTCAAAACCTGAAAATGAACTTATGGATTTGAGACGTGGACGTGACTGCTGGCCGTATAAGGACGCTCAAGGTTACTCAGCTACCTATGGAGAGGGCTATGCTCGGCGTTACTCTGTGTGATAAAATTAGAAATGAAGATATCCGCAGTAGAACCAGAGTGACCGACATAGCCCAACGGATTAGTAACCTGAAGTGGCATTGGGCCGGCCATATAGCTCGGAAAAACGACAACCGACGGGGGAAAAAGGTTCTTGAGTGGCAGCCTCGTACCGGCAGGCGAAGTGTGGTAAGTCATGCAGGAAGTCAATGGGTGCAGGTGGCTCAGGACCGTGCTTTTTGGCATTCCTTGAGGTAGGCCTATGTTCAGTAGTGGACTTGTGAAGGGCTGTAATGATGATGAGGTTGATGATGTGTTGTATTCGCATAAACATAAGATCCTTAGCAGCTCCATGCTGCTGTTTCATGTGAGAAGTGTAGAGTTAGCTGTAATTCGTTTTTTTTTGTTCGAATAAATCGCAATTATCTTCTTCGTTATACAGGATGATTTTATAGATGGGTGCAAAACTTTCAAGGGGTGCTAGCATAGACAATTTAGAACCATTTGAGTCATGCTTGTCTTAGATCAAGTCTAACTATTTTTTTAAAATAAGTTTTTATGATTTTTAGCGAAAATGCACAAAATGTTCTAATTAACTGTTATTTATGGCCAAATTATACAAAAAAAAAACATGTATTTTATTTTATTCTGTTAAATTCATGTGTAAGCGATCTAATAAGACATGTTTTAAGCACATGTATCTTAAGATAATTTTTTTTAAAAACGTATAAAATTTATAAATACCTTTTGTAGCTCTCTATATAAAAATCAATTTCTATTAAATATTTGATGAATTTTTTGTGTTTGAATGGGTCCCTAGGTGGTTTAGATTCACGTTTGGATCCGGTAAGTGACGCTGTTGTAAAGACTTAAGAGATACAGATATCACCCGTGTGAAGCCGGGGTGGTTAAACAGGCATTAATCTGACCTTCATACAGTCTTCACCACAGAAATCGTAATAATAAGATAATAGAAGTCGCATAGACGCGTGACCTTGTTTCCGCTATGATGTGTTGACGAACATCATTCACCATTTTGTGATTTAATTGCGCGGGGAACATCGTACGTGAATTTATGTTATTATAATGGTGAACTACAGCATAATCAGTAGTAAAAACTCATCGAGGACGTGTAATTTAACTAATAAATGCATAACATTTCATCGGTAAGTTGATTATTAACTATCATTGCTTTAACTAATTTACATCTAGATGAATACTTTACTATGATATTTACCTTTGTAAACTCTCATTTATTAGTTTTTCGTATTCCTCACACAGGCTGTGTGAGGAATGCCCTCTTAGTCCTCAGAGGTGACAACGCATGTGTAGCCTTCTTGGTTTGAATTTATCTGAAAGTGTGGACAACAGTAGTAAAAACAGTACTTCAGTTTTGTAAAACAAATATCTTTTTTAGAAAGTTAAAGTTACAACCTATGTTTGTGTTCCAAAATAGAACCCAGTATATAATAATACTGGCCTATACTGCGAATGACGTCATAAATCGACGCCATACTGGTGATAGTTTGATTCGTTTCAATACATTGGCCAGTATATGACATCATACATTTTCGCCATATTGGAAAAGTGTTGGCGATTATTTTATGTCATTTTGTGTTCCAAAAGTTATTATATCCTGTTTCAATTAATTTGTGAAGAATGGAGATACCAGCAATTATGTTAGTGAGCCGTGTTGCTATTGAAATTAATTCTGATTCAACCGATAGTGATACTGATGACGATGATTTAGTGCTTGTCTGTTTAAAATTTGTTTTATTATAGCGGGATATCCGACACAAAATGGCGTCAATTAATGACGTCATTTGCATTCACCAATATACTGGGTTCTATTTCGGAACACAGACTTTATATGTCCTACTGCTGGGCACAGGGCTCCTCTCATTTCTGGGAGGGTTTTAAGGCAAGAAGTGTCCGCCGCGCTGGCCCGATGTCTGTTGGCGAACTTCAGGTCTTCGAAATATTTTTTTCATCTCGGACATGCAGGCTTCCTCACGATGTTTTCCTTCACCACCGAGCACGTGGCATAAAATTGCAATTAACAATTTTAATGGAGCCGGCGGGGATCGAACACGGGTTGCTCGCGTTCTGTATAATTTACAGAGTTCTTAGCCCCTGAGTTACCACGACTTATCTGTTAAAGTTAAAAAAGCGTTTTTTTTATATCGATACAAAACTAACTATTGAACAACACTAGTCAGGGACTTTTATCCTGTTAAGTCATTGTGATGTTTAATAAATTTTCTCGTGTGGTAGATATGGCTGACAGGGGACTTTCTTCATAACTTCACGAAGATTAAAGATCAACCTCAAATGCTGTCCACACCGGCGGAGTTAAAGTTGATCTACCCATCCTTGGGTAAGTTACAGTTGAATCAATTGTAGTAGGCAGGAAAGAAGTTTCCAAAGAAGTTTCTTTTAGGTGGAAGAGCCATGGTGTAGCTGTACTGGATGACCTTTTTTAACGTCTGGAAAAAAATTGGGTGAAACATGTGAACGGAGTAGAAGTTTGAGTGAACGGAGTGGTAGAGCCATGTTGGAGTTATATTAGTAGCATAGTTGTAGCACGAATGAGTCGGCTCGAACGGGGAAGGACCGCGCTCTCACAGATTACCAGCGTGAAATAGCAGTTTAATGCTGGTGTGTTTCGTATAGTGAGTGTAGAGAACCGGAGACCCTTTATACTGGAAACGAGGCATTCCGTCTTAGTCCTCACGGGTGACAACGCATCTGCATTTTGATTCGTAATCGAGGATAGATGTAGATATTTATGGACCACAGCAACCACTTACCATCAGGTGGACTGTGTGCTCGTTTGTCATCCTATCCTATAAAAAAGCCTATGGCACTGATAATTTACCAAAAAATTTGAATTTAATAAATAAATTAATTAAAATCTATCCAAATTCAAATTATATCTATCCTACATTACAAACGGCCATAAAACAATACATTTAGTAGCCATCTTTGACCATGTCACTTGGCAGGGTCACAGGCTAGGGTGGATATGATTTGAATTTCGATAGATTTTTAATTAATTAATTTATTTAATTCAACATTTTTATATTAATTTTTTGTAAAATACAAGTGTCATAGAGTTCTACTCCGTTCACATGTTACACCATATTTTTTTTCCAGATGATAAAAAAAAGTTCACCCAGTATAATGATTGCAGAATGTGTTCACTCGAATGGGATAAGACCATGCTCTCACTTAATACCAGCTTGTAGGGAACCGAAGACCCTTTTTACTGGAAACGAGACATTCTATCTTCGTCATCAGGGGTGACAACGTATTTGCATTTTGATTCATAATCGAGGAGGATAGATGTCTACGGACCACAGCTACCAATTACCATCAGGTGGACTGTGTGTTCGTTTGCCACCCTTAAACAAAAAAGCCATATATTTGCCTTGAAGGTCTTCAGATTTGGATAGTTATACCCCCCCGCCCCTAACCCCTCCCCATTAGCTATTTCTGCCGCCAAGCAGCAGTGAAGAAGCACTGTTTATCAAACACTGTTTATCAAGCTTAAGTGCATGTTTGCATGGCTACCTGTTCGCCAAGCGAGCGCGCGACATGTTATACTCCCGTTCGCTCGGGACCGTAATGGCGGGAAAATTTGCAAATTAGCAAATTTTTTGCTATATTGCAAATTTTGCTATATGTTCACTTTGAGACAATATTTATGGATAAAACTTACAGGAATTCTTGGTGAATGTATAAACTATCGAATAAAATTATTTTTGGTTACTAGAAATTGTAATAAAATACGTAAATTACCCTGTATAGCTGTATAGTGGTATATACTTCAATTTTAGTGACAAAATTACTACTAATTTGAATTCTACACTTTTGTTTTTAGAGAAATTTATATGAAAATGTTTGGAAATATGTATATTTTTATGTTTTATGTGTTTCCATTCGTTACTCATACCAAAATATTAAAATATATAAAAATTAAAAAATATAATAATAATATTTTATCTGTGTGACATTTAGAACAATATTTCTAAAATAGTTTTGTGTGAATTTGAAATAAATACAACGTGAAGTTATTTGAAATATGTAAGAAAACTATTTTTACTTACATTTTACACTAAAAATAAATGAGAATTTGAAAAATAACACATTTATGACCCAGCCGCCATAATGGGCCTTCCAGATTTTGAAGCACTTTTGGCAATTTACTTTTCACTTTTTATACCACAAATTATATATATATGTGTTTACTATATTACAAGGAATATAAAAAAGTATAATACTTTCGTTTTTAGTCCAGACACAAATATAAAATTCTATAAAAAAGACGGAGCACCTTCATCAAAACGACACGTGGAACGCCGAAAGTTCAGAGTGATTTCTTTTTTTTTTTTCTAAGAAACAAGGCCAGGTTATGGTTTAAAATAAAAGAGCATATCTTTGTCTTTGATACTATTATCTATTGCATAGTGTCTTTGGTTTTGTTTAAAACGAAAAAATAGTTTTTTCATAGGTACACACGTTTACATAATTCTAATCAAATTAGATCACTGCTTGGCGGACATAAGGTAGGTATTGTACGATCAAAAGTGCGCATGGCTTGGCTTACAGGGACATGAATCATTATTTTTAAAATATTTGTCTGATGTTCTGTTTGTTTGACTTATCGTCGGAATAATTGAATTGATTCTTATTAAACTTCACGAACCGATAGAGAACAATGCCAGTAGTGATCAAGGCTATATTTTATTTATGTTTCATCCAAAAATAATGAAAAGGGATGTTTGTGGAATCTAAAAATATAAAAAAAAATTAAATTATTATTTCTTATTTCGTAAACTATAAGAGATATAAAAGAAGTTACACAATATGGAATTAGAGAATGGAATGATTTCACAAAATAAATTTTAATATTTATTTTTGAAGTGAAAGATTTTTTAGCACTGTGATTTGGAACTCGATGAAACGCAAAAAGCGCACTAAAAAGAGACAAACATATACATCTTTAGGATTTAACCTGTGAGAGAATGAGATAGAATACAGTATACAGTGTTTCCCATTATATCTGTCTCCTTTTCTGAAGGTTTCACTTCTACGGCTTTTGAACTGCACACATGTTTTTATCAACACAATTTTACAGCAAAACTATGAGAGCTTAAGGATAAGGTGTTAAGGCCATTTTTGTATAATTTATGGCTTTTTAATATATTTTTGAATAAAAGTTAAAGTTACAGCCTATATACGTCCCACTGCTGGGCACAGGCCTTCCCTCATTTCTGAGGAAATCCGCCGCGCTGCCCCAATGCGTGTTGGCGAACTACACATGTGTTCGAAATATTTTTTTATTTCTCAGACACAGGTTTCCTCAAGATGTTTTCCTTCACCGCCGAGCACGTGGTAAATCAGCATTTAAAATTGCAATTAGCAATGTCATTGGTGCCGGCGGGGATCTAACCCGGGTTACTCGTGTACTGTGAAATTTAAATGAGCGCTAACCATCTGAGTTAACCATATAAGCTTTTTGAATATTTTCATTTTTTCCCCGCATAGGTTTAAAGCGTAATAAACTAAGCTCAAAGTATTTTTTTTTGATAATTTTTGATATTTTTTTTGCTTTTTTTGTTTGTTCTAAGCGGACGAAGTCGCGGGTTAAAGCTAGTGCCTAACAAAGCTCTGGATTTATTTTCGCAGAGAATGTGAAGCAGTCGCATGACGACCTGCTGGGTGGCGGGTGCCTCCCATATGCAGCTGATGCCCATGCGAAGCAGCCCTGGCTGAATGATTTTCTATAGTGAGTAGTAGTGAGTTATATAGTATATATAACAATATTATATAGTAATTGTTCAAAAAATTATATATATATATATATATTTTTTTGAACAATTACTTTGCCCTCGAGCCTTTGATCCTGTGTAGTGACAAGGTCAATGATGCCTAGTAAATTTATTGTTTTATTACCGTTTGTAAAGTATGGTGGATATGATTTAAATTTCGATAGATTTTAATTAATTAATTAATTTAATTCAAAGTTTTTTTTTATTTTTTGTTCTATATCGTGTGTCATAGGCTTCTACTCCGTTCACATGTTACACACTATTATTTTCCAGACGGTAGAAAAGGTAATCCAGGATTATGGTTGTAGCATGAATGGGTCCACACAATATAAGCGTAAAATAGCAGCTTAACGCTGCTTTCTGCCTTTCATGCTGTTGCTGTGTTTCATATAGTGAATTCCTGCTGCTGTGTTTCATATGGTGAGTGTAGAGAACCAGAGACCCTTTTTACTGGAAACGAGGAATTCCATCTTAGCCTTCAGGGTTGACAATGATTCTTAATCGAGGATAAATGTAGATGTCCATGGGGCACAGCTTCCATCAAGTATACTGTGTGCACGTTTGTCACCATTCCCCAATTCTATTTAAAAAAAATCCTTGAGACGTTCTTTAAAACAATGTTTTGCTAGATGGTTAAACTCCTAATGCCCCTTCTTTGCTTAGAAGTCCGTTTGGGTAGATATATTAATACATATTAATCCTCGAATAACACTCAAAATGCAGATGCGTTGTCACTCTTGATAACTAAGCTGGAATGCCTCGTTTCCAGTAAAAAGGGTCTCCGGTTCTCTACACTCACCATACGAAACGTGGCAGCATTAAACTGCTATTTTATATTTCTGTGAGAGCATGGTCTTTTTTTCGATTAATCCAACCAGTTGTGTTATATATATACATACCATACTATAGCTATTTTTATAGAATACGTGTGACAAAGGAGCACACAGTCCGCCTGATAGTAAGTGGATGCTGTGGTCCATAGACATCTACACTTATCCTCGATTGAGAAGCAAAACGTAGATGCGTTGTCGCCCCCGAGGACTAAGATGGAATGCTTCGTTTCCAGTAAAAAGGGTCTCCGGTTCTCTACACTCACCATACGAAACACAGCAACATTAAGCTGCTATTTTACGCTGGTATTCTGTGAGAGCGTGGTCCTTCCCCGGTCGAACAGACCCATTCGTGCTACAGCCATAATATAGCTGCAGCGTGACTCCCTCACATATAAAAAAACATATATAGCTGTAGTGTGGCTTTACCATGTAATACCCGTTAACCAGGAGTGATTGCTCTACTGTGTTGCAATCCGAAAAGTTATTATTATATAATAATTATTATGAGCCAGTGTGGCGTAATGTGGCTGCGCTGTCGTCGCGCCGCAAGCGAAACACACCGAAGCCTAAATCACGCTATCAACATTCCGAATCATAAACAGTATAATATATAGAACATCTCCAAACTATCACACGGAGTGTTGGCCGCTCCCCGGGCAGAACACCTTGCCCGGCGGGAGATCTCCCCTTTTCCTTCCACAGCCACAGCCAGTATAATTACAATCTGTGAGGCATTTCATCTTTGTCTTATTTTTAACCGACTTCAAACAGGAGTAGGTACTCAATTCGACTGTTTTTTTTCCATGTGTGTTCTCAAAACTTTTGTTTTGGGTGAAGCAATTTTGATTTGAAAATCTGACCGGTAGTTTTTGAGTTGTCCTTAATAATGCGTGTTTTATTTACTTTGAATACATTGATGTTCTCATTTTTTATTTATATTGAAGTCGGTTGTAGGAAACTTACTTTTACAACTTGTTTCTTTTTAAAAGGTAAAGATACAGCCTCCTCCACTCATTTCTGAGAAGGTTTTAGGGCAAGGAAATGTCCGCGCTGCCCTAATGCGTGTTGGCGTACTTCACATGTTCTCAAAATATTTTTTTTCTTATTTCGCAAAAATGCAGGTTTCCTCACGATGTTTTCTATTACCGCCAAGCATGAGGTAATTCAGCACGTGTAATTGCAATTACCTATGAAATTTAGGAGCGCTTAAGTCGTGAGCTATCACAAGTGTTATATTTTAAATAATTAGAATTTTTCCTACTATAGGTGATTCCCACACCCAACAGTGGACTGTTATGGACGATAAAGAGATACATAGTCATTTTATATCTTCAGCCAGTGGCGAGCGACCTCAACACATCGAAACAAGGCAATGCCACATATAAAGTCTTACACGCGGATCTCACCGGATAACAAGAAGGCCGCCTTCTTCCTCTTGACTTCCGCCAACGTTAGTAAAGCGGCCTGGGGCTCTCTGAACAAAGGCAACAAGGCCCTCAGGGTCATGAGCTATGAAGCTGGTGTGCTGTTTCTGCCCAAGTTTATTGTAAGTACACTTCTTAACTTCTGTTCACCAGTACGAGGCTGCCACTCGAGAACCTTTAAGGATAAAAGGTTTTCTAGTGGCAGCTTCGTACCGGTAGGCGAAGTGTAGGGCGACCTCCCTCTAGATGGAGTGATGACCTGGTCAGACATGCAGGTATTCGAAAGTCCTAGGTGAAAGTTTATCGACCAAATTAGCGATATGTTGAAAGCGGGCTAAATTAGGAGTACCCTTAACCAACGAACATGTATGCGTAGGTATGTGAATGTGTATGAGGCGAGAGAGGTGTGTCAGGATCGTGCCAAATGGAAGTCTATAGTCTCTGCCTACCCCTCTGGGTGACAGGCGTGAGTGTTTATGTATGCATATCCAAATTTAGATCAGCCGGCGATGCCTGTATTTTGTGTACTGTCGGAGATCAGATGTTTTTATAAAAAATCATTCATAATAGAGTCGACCCCATACCACTTCTAAGTGAAATAAATTTCAGATGCCAAAGGATAAGTGCTAGAAATAAAATTTTATTTCGTACTTCTACTATGTGAACTAAATGTGGCAAGAACTATTATATAACTCGTGCATGTAAATCTTATACAACTTTTCACATGTTGATGTTTTTTCTCAGTCGTATGGACAGTTTAAAAAGGAAATTGAAGCTGTAATGCGTAATGGTTAAATTAATTTTATACTAAGATGGAATGCCTCCTTTCCAGTAAAAAGGGTCTCTGGTTCTCTACACTCTCCATATGAAACATTGCAGCGTTAAGCTACTATTTCACGTCGGTATTCTGTGAGAGCGCGGTCCTTCCCCGGTCGAGCCGACACATTCGTGCTACAACTATACTTCTGATATTACTGCAGCATGGCTCTACCACGCATAAAAGACTAAAAATGTTTAGGGGTGGGCCACGACAATAGTAGAAGGGCGCATTCGAACCCACGAGCTTTTGAGTTCGCGATCCGCACACTACCATTAGGCTACTATCGCTATAAATATATTATATAAATGTATTACTATAGTGTTTATATTTATAAATACTTGTACATGAAATTGTGGTCAAAGCAATTTTTTTTTCAGATAAACGAAGATCTGTTCCCGTTGGAAGGAAACGCCCAGAACCGCCTCATTTTGCCTTACGACGTGCCGCCTGTTAAATACACTGGTGATATGTCGCCGTGGTTTTTTGATTATCTGTCTTAAAATTAAAAATAAAAACTTGTTATATTTATAAATAAATACGTTATCTTTGTAATTATGGTTTCATTTATGATCGATGTCATCGATCACTAATAAAGAACTAGATACACAATCCCATACAAAAGTTCTCTAAAAACTGTCAATTGTTGTGACGTATTTCTAGTTAAAATAAATATACATTTATGTAAATTCAACCTTAAATACATTGCCTATAGTTGTATTCACAAAGATACGTACGAAAAGCAATAAATTTTTAGGACTGATACTGGCTGGTGAACCTATATCAAAACAAAGTCAAACTTACATGCGTGTTTTAAAGTCAGAATTACAAAGTGCTAATAAAATCAAACAAATTTTACGACCGAGGCTCGTAGCTTGGACAAGGAATTATTGGAGTCGAACTGCCCAACATTTTTTGTTACTGTTATTTTTATTTTAAAATGTTTCAAACTTGTTTTAAAAACTGGTGTACATAAAGCATATTCTATTCTATTTTATGGTGTATTATACGTAATGGTTATAATTTACCTGAATGTAAATACGTTTTTTGGATAGGACACCACATTTATTTAGTAACGAAAGTACTTGAAACAGTCATAATTATTTATTTATTGTTCAACTTGTGTAAAAAATTTAAAAATATTTCTTGACAAAGAACTTAAATCTAAATTCAATAGTTACTAAATATAAAAAGTATGTTGTAAGTCGTAGTCACATATTCATCACTTTCTAAACCTTTGACATGCTATGATTGACATCCATTCTATGTCGTAAAGCGACAGTCAAAAACTAAAGAAACCAACCTAATAACAACGAAACAACAAAAAAACGAATAATTTATTTAAAATTTTAAAAAGATAAAAATATATGAAAATGATGATGGGGTTTCAAACTAGAAGCATCACGGAGTATGCACAGGATATGCCTGTGGTAGGTGCGCAGCACCTGATCTAGGCACACGCAGCGCTTGAAGTAGGCACACAGTGTCTGGAGTAGGTACACGCAGCGTCTGGAGCAGGTACACGCAGCGCTTGAAGTAGACAAACACAGCGCCCGGAGTAGGCACACACAGCGCTCGGAGTAGGCACACGCAGTGCCCGGAGTAGGTACACAAAGCGCTCGGAGTAGGCACACACAGCGCCCGGACTAGGCACACGCAGCGTATGGAGTAGGTACACGCAGCGTCTGGAGCAGGTGTAGGCGTAGGCGTGGCTAGGCGACGACTTCAGGTGAAGGCAGAGGCTTGCAGGATCCCGGGGCAGTGCGGATAAGTCCTTTAGGAGATGCTTCTAGTATGAAAGCTGAAGCGAGACTTTTTTTATTGGCCGATTGTTCGGCTTTTATACTTTTTGACGGATCTGGGATAAGAACGGGAAATTATTTAAATTAAATTTGAAATTATTTAAATTAAAAGCAAATTTTTGTAAATGGCCAAGAGGAAAAGAGTATTTATGTGAAAGTATGGAGTAAAAACATCAGACCGGTAACGAATTTCGAATAAAAATTGCCATGATAACCAGATAAACAACGATGTCAAAACATCTCAAATTTTGGTTTTAGGCTCGTAATAGACAAACGGCAAGATTTAAGTGAAAAATGAGATATTATTTATAAAGGAAAAAAGGTAGCGCAACAGCGCGCACGAAGTCCGAAATTGCAGAGTTACGGAGAACTAAATAAAAGACCGAAAAAGGTAGACTCCATTGACACCGATTTAAAAAGTGCTGATAACGTGAAAATACGAAGTGAAAATGATTTGTTATTGTGTTCTTATGGTTTAAAAACGTTACAGGATCCTATGGAAATAAAGGTGATGCAAAATATCCAGTTTCGAGGTGAATGCAGAAAATCGAAAACAGAATGGAAAAATAAATTTAAAATAGTGTAAAATGATATGTAAGTAGCATAACACTACATCTATACTCCTAACTGGATCTCGAGGAAAGCTGAAAAATTAAAAATTAAATCTCACATCTTTAATTTTACTACATGCACGTATTCAAAATTAAGTGTATAAATGTTATTACAATATTTATAGAAACAAAAAAGAAGTCTCATTAAACAAAAAAAAAAAAAACTATCATACTTTCATAATAAAAAAAATAACGTCTCCAACAAATGGAACAGAGTCAACGCACATACCTCGAACAATTATGACTTATTTTAATAAGACTTAATTTAAAAAAATATTTTACGGAGATTTCTTGGCAAAATATAAGTATTTACGAAACAGTGATAACAATTAGATAAATAATATCAATACGTACCGAAATTAGAAAATTCCATCCTCTTTTAGCGTCCTGGATGTGCGATTTTTACACTTTTTAAACGAGCACTGAGGCATGTTTACCTTCGGAGCGTTCGAATGTAACTAGATTAAAAGCGCACCCAAATGTTCGAATGGGTGCTCATTTGGTGAGGTCGTTTTTCGTCACTGATTGTGTATCTAGTTTTTTATTAGTGATCGATGATCGATGTGATTTAAAACTCGATGAATCTAAAAAAAAACCAAACGTATACGTGTATAGGATTTAGCCTGCGAGAGAATGAGATAGAATACAGTAGTATGCGACTGTAATCTAATTGCAGGGTGCGGACCGCGAACTCGAAAGGTTGTGGGTTCGAATCACATGCATTTTTAAATTGAAACTTCTTTACAATCGTTGTGATTTGAAACGAAAAAGCGACACCAAAAAGAGACAAAAATATACATCTTTAGGATTTAGACTGCGAGAGAATGAGATAGAATACAGTGTAGTATGTGACAGTAGCCTAATGGAAGGGTGCGGACCGCGAACCTGAAAGGTTGTGGGTTCGAATCACATGCATTTTTGTGGTGAAACTTCTGTAGAATCGTTATTTGAAAAAAATTACAACAAAAATTGACAAAAATATACTAGGGATGCATCCGATGCCGATATATCGGCGATACTCGATGTTTGCCGATATATCGGCATCGGATATATTTTTACGGCCGATTCAACGATACTTTTCAAATTTCGCGCTTCAAAAATGTATCGTAAACATGCGTGTTGTCTCGTCTATTTCATTGCAAACGAAACTGTCTACAGTTTTGAAACGATTTCATTTACTTTTTCCTGTTATTTGTTATTTTTATATTAATTAAAAAAATAACCTGACTTGTGTTTTATTTATCTTACTTTCATTTTTGAATTCATATAAGCGGTAGCGGTATCGTATCGGCAAAAAGGCGTATCGAGCCATTCATAAAATATACATCTATAGGATTTATCCTGTGAGAGAATGATAATAATAATAATAATACTATACTCAATTCTTTTTGGCGCCGCGCTGGCAGTCTGCCGTATCATAGGCGCCAAGGTTTCCACGGCTGGACGCGCTACTGGCCATAGTAGCGCTATCCCAGCATGGAGAAGAAGAATTGAGGAACGTATCGCAAAGGCTAGAGCTCTCATCGGCAGACTGATATGCTTCAGATCAGGCAATAACAGGCCAAGAATTGTGCGCACCGTCAGGATGGCGTTTGCTGGGACAAATGTTGGTTTGTCCCAGCCGGATATAACGCAAAAACTGACGGAGCGCATAGATGATCTGAAGCAAAGAATCGCCGCTTGGGGAAAGCGGATTCGGCGATATACCGAGAGGTCGACACGGTTCAACCAGTATCGTCTCTTCCAGAGTGATCAGAAAAGGCTCTATGCATCATTGGAGCGACCAATAGTAAGTGGAACGGGCCCAGCACCGAATCAGGCCGACACTGTAGCATTCTGGCGCGGCCTGTGGTCAGAGCCCGTAAACCACAGCGAGGGCCCTTGGACGGAAGTTGTGGCGAGTCAGTGTGCGGGTATTACGCCCATGGACCCCGCCATCATAACACCGGATGACGTAGCTGAGGCGGTCCGTAGGGCCCCGAACTGGAAAAGTCCGGGGCTTGACGGGCTGCATTACTACTGGCTGAAGGGGTTCATGGTGTGTCACTCTGTGCTCGTCCGACAGTTTCAAGAGGCTCTCAACCAGAAATCGCTCCCAAGCCTCTTCACTACTGGGATCACTCATTTGGTTCCTAAAGTCCGGGGTACCACAGACCCGAGCAAATACCGCCCCATCACGTGTCTACCGACCATATACAAGACACTAACATCCATTTTGAGCGCGAGAATCACTCGTCACCTGGACTCGAATCAGGTGATGTCGCGCGCTCAAAATGGATGTCGGGGCGGTGGTCGTGGAACCAAGGAACCACTCCTCATTGACGCGGTCATTGGCAAAGTGGTGAAACGCAACCGTCGGAACTTCTCCGCCGCCTGGATAGACTACAGAAAGGCATTCGACTCGGTGCCCCATACATGGCTAAAGAGAGTCCACGAGCTGTACAAGATAGACTGTACAGTTAGACTTCCTCGAGCAGTGTATGGGGCAGTGGAGCACGATCCTTTGTCATCTGGGCGAGTGGAGGATGGCTGCGGAAAACTACATAAGGATAAGAAGGGGTATCTTCCAGGGCGATTGTCTGAGTCCAATCTGGTTCTGCCTCTCTCTGAACCCTCTCAGTACCTTACTGGAGGGCTCCGGGAGGGGATTTCAGCTACGGAAAGGAGGGACAAAGGTGACTCACCTTTTCTATATGGATGACCTCAAGTTATTCGCCTCCAGTCGCTCCCATCTTATGGAATTGCTAAACATCACTTGTGAATTTAGCAATTCCATTGGTACGGAGCTGGGGACGGATAAGTGTGCGGTCCTCCATGTTGAAAGGGGAAGGGTTGCTAACTCTGAGGGCATGGACTTATCTATGCCCGTCAACTTAAGAACCCTTTGCGAGGCTGAAACATACCGATACCTGGATATGTCACAAAACATCCGTATCGATGAGGCTGGTAACAGTCAGTTTGCGACGTGTTTTATGCACGCTTGACCAAAGTGCTTAACAGCCTTTTGTCCGGTGTGAATAAGACACACGCGTATAACGGCTGGGTCATGCCTGTCCTCATGTATACATTTGGCATACTCAGGTGGACTCAGACTGAACTTAACGCCCTGGATAGAAAAGTCCGCACTACCATGACGTCCCATAGGATGCATCATCCGAGATCGTCGGTAATGAGGCTGTACTTGCCGCGGAAGCATAGTGGTCGTGGCTTCTTGAGCGCGCTCACCATGCATAATCGCGAAGTGTGCAGCCTCCGTGATTACTTCCTGGCGAGATCAGATGATCCATTCTATAAGGACGTCATTTCTTGTGATAAAGGACTTACCCCTCTATCCTTAGCCAACGAGCAATGGCAAGACCCGACAGTGCAGAGCATTTCCGACCGGGAGACCGTATGGAAGGAGAAGGAGCTCCACGGGAGGTTCTACAAGGCTCTACATGAGCCTTTCGTAGACACAGTAGCCTCCCTCAACTGGCTACGCTTTGGCGATCTCTTCGGGGAAACCGAGGGTTTTGTCTGTGCAATACAGGATCAGGTTATTAAAACCAACAACTATCGGAGATACATCCTAAAGGATGGCACCGTCGACATCTGTCGAGCATGCTGACATCCCGGTGAGTCACTTAGGCATGTCATCTCCGGTTTTTCGGCGCTTTCTAACTCTGAGTACTTGCACAGGCACAACCTAGCAGCCAGAATTCTACACCAGGAGCTCGCTCTGAAATACGGTCTCGTGGACCGAAAATTGCCGTATTACAAGTACTTGCCGGAAGCCGTGCTCGAAAATGATCGCGCCAGGCTCTACTGGGACCGGGCCATCATCACAGACAGGACTATTCTTGCAAATAAGCCTGATATTGTGCTGATGGACCGGGCACAGTCAAGGATAGTTTTGGTCTACATTACCATTCCGTATGACGAGAACCTCGTGAAAGCCGAAACAGATAAGCAAACAAAATATCTGGACCTGGCTCACGAGGTGACCGACATGTGGGGTGGTCTGCCGACCGAAATTATTCCTGTAGTCGTCTCTGCGAACGGCCTAATCCCAGTCAGCCTCTCGGGTCATCTGAGGCGGCTGGGACTACGTGGCGGACCGCTCCAGGCTCAAATGCAGAAGGCGGTGCTCCTCGATACAGCCCGCATCGTCCGCCGGTTTCTTTCCCTTTCTCCCTAACCCTTGGCCGTTTGGCCTCCCCTGCCGAGGGCCTCCATCTGGTTGGGTTTTTATTTATTTATTTATTTTTATATTTAGTTTATGTTTATGATATTTATGTTTATTTATCTTTTCATTTTCATTTATAATTATATATTTATAGAACTAAAAATATGTTGATATCTCACAATAATAATAAATATTTATATCATTTCTAATTATACATGTTTACATACAGGAATAAATATGATTACAATTAAATAAAGTAAGAATAAGTCTAAAAAAAAATAACATACTATGATAAAATTAAAACTATGTATAGCTTAATAATGTCGAATATACAAAAGAAAAATAAAAAAAGTCAAGTTTATGATATTAGCTACCTGCCTGAACTAGGTTGAGTACCTGTGTTTCAGACATCACTTACACAATGGGTTTAATAATGTAGGACATTAGATATGTAATAATTAAACTATATTATATAATAAATAAAATAACTAAATAACAAAATAACAATTAATTGTTACCTACAATTAATACAAACTATTTTAGAATTTCTAACAACTTCTCTGTGTCTTCGTAATTTAATTTATTTAGAAATTCCCTTACACTTACTACTATATACTTTGACTATATACCTTTAGTGACTTGTTGAGCTTGTTATATAGAAAGGGTCCTAAAAATATGTAAAATTTGTTCACAAATGCGTGTTTGGTTTGAGGGTTAACACAAACTAAGTCCATTCTTCTCCTGTCTATGGATTTTGAGTTAAATGGAAGTTCGGTATGCTGTTTTAATATGATGTTCAGGATAAACAACTGACGGACATTTAGTACACTACATGCCAAGTAAAGTTCATGTGTAAGAAACATGAATGGGCGGAAAGTGGCTACCTTTAAAACTGCTCTCTGAGCACGTTCTAATGGGAGCAATATTGTTTTAGAAGCTCCACCCCAAGAAGTAATGCCATAAGTGCCATATTCTAGATAAAGCTCAAACATTTCAACAAAATCACTAACACAAATATAACTAAAGTATGTCACAGTTACTTCCGGTATTGTTATAACGAGGTCACGGCTAAACACTTTCACACTTTACATATAGGGGGTACCCTAATAAAACATTTTTTTTGCAATTTTTATTTTACCACTTTGTCGGCGTGATTGATACACATATTGGTACCAAATTTCAGCTTTCTAGTGCTAACGGTCACAGAGATTAAGCGAGGACGGACAGACGGACAGACAGACATGGCGAAACTATAAGGGTTCCTATTTGACTACGGAACCCTAAAAAGGAGTAAGATCGTTTCTTGAAGGGTCCCTAAGTCGTATCAGGTCAGAAAAATCTGCCAATGATAAACAATTCCACAAAGAAGTCGCTCGATGAAGAAAACTCCTAGTAAATCGTGCAATGGTGGACACACAGCACAGTTATGCGTGCGTGTGTTATCAAAGGACTCCCTTTTTGTCTAGTCTGGGTAGGAACCACAGTAAAAATGCATAGCTAAAGCAGTAAGTCAACTCCAAACAAACGTATGAATCAAGATACGTGCACAGACACGCCACTAAAAGTCATCTATAACTGGCAATACATGTTAGCCAAGCCTCTGCCAACGCTAGCGTAGGTAAATTGATACAAGGCGACTGCTACAGTCCACATGTTGGTCAAGTTTAAAGGAGTAAACATTATGACATGGCCAGCTAACATATAGCCACGACTTGCCGAGTGCAGGCGAGAGCCTTTGATTTGTGCAGAAAACAGACACTGTTCAGAAGTATGACGAGACGTGGCAATCGATCCCGAGTTGTGGCTGGCAAGGCTCGTCACAAACGAACAATATACACGTTGGCACTCGCCCAGCTAGGCGAGGGACGACGATCAATGGCGAAGCTAGACAAGTGAGGTGTCTAAGCGTTGGTACTCGCCTTCCCTCAGCCAATATATATAGCCGGCTTAAGCTAATTTTGCAATGCATTCAGTCACGGGTGTTGCTTTTCTTTTCGGCACTTTTTTTATTCTTGACACTTTCTTTATTGACGGCACTAGCGCCATCCATTATCGAACAGAGGAACTAAGCTTTCTAGAAAACTTCACACTCGAACTTTTTACACCTAGTCGGGCGAGACCGGTATTTGCTGGAATAATCTAGATGTTTCGGTGGAAAGAGCCTATATAGAGGCGTTTGGCCGCGACCGGGGGCAATATTGAATTGGCGATACAAGCGAAGCTTTCGAAGCGAAATAAAGTGAACTAAAGTGTTAAGTGTGATTAATTATTAGTGTGATTTAAGTTTCATTGGTGTCCTGTAAATAAAGTGTCAATTTTGGTAATTCAATCGGCAGTTTTTACTGTCACGAACCATAAGCTCGTAACATTATTATGTGTATTTTTTATAGCTTGAGGGTGACAAACGAACACACTGTTCACCTGATGGTAAATGGATACTGTGACCCATAGACATCTACATCTATCCTCGATTAAGTATCCGAATGCGGATGCGTTGTCACCCCTGAGGACTAAGATGGAATGCCTTGTTTCGGATAGCTTTAATTACTCCTGACATAGTTTATCTGTTCGTGAAGTTTCACCATGACCAGAACAAACAGACGAAAATTTTGCAAATGGTTATTTATGTCTTGATGAAAGGACTCGATGACAATGACTCGATAAAAGGCAATTATTTTGCAACTACGGACCGATACTTCATTTTATTTATACGCATAGATTTTTATTTAATTGAATAAAATACTCAAATATACAGTATTTACATTTACAGTTCTAAAGTTAAATGTATAATATATATGGTATGATATACCATCAGGTCTACTAGCTTTGTTCATGTCTAGACTTCGCAAGGTTTTAAGAACCTCGTTGTTGGTGAGAGACCTCTGATAAAGAGGTCCGTAGTGAGTTAATTGAGATGGTACGCTGTTACTGCTGTCAAGACGAAAAAGTAAATTAGTAAATTGGAATTAGAACCGATTACGTGGTAGAGCCAAGCTGCAGTTGTATTAGTAGTATAGTTGTAACACGAATGGGTCGGCTCGACCGGGGAAGGACCACGCTCTCACAGAATACCAGCGCGAAATAGTAGCTTAACGCTGCTCTGTGTTTCGTATGGTGAGTGTAGAGAACCGGATGGATACCCTTTTTACTGGAAACGAGGCATTCCATCTTAGTCCTCATTGGTGACAACGCATTTGTATTTCGATTTGTAATCGAGGATAGATGTAGATGTCTATGGGCCACAGCAACCACTTACCATCAGGTGGACTGTGTGCACGTTTGTCACCCTATCCTATAAAAAAAATTAGTGACGTTCATAGGACCATACGATTGTCGAAATAGTGACGCAGTAAAGGGGATGGCAGGATCATCGCTCCGGACGGCCAATTTTATAAAATAATTTCTTTAATTTTCGACGTAAACCTTGGGTCTCCTAACTACGAGAGTCGTGTAGAAATGAGTTTGTCAATGCACAAGAGTGACTAGCATTATTAGAAAAAAGTATTAAATTACATAATTTAATTGTTTAAAGTGATGTCTGTTATCATAAGAAATGTGAAAATGTATGATGTAATAAACGTTTCAGAAAGGTTTTATAAATTAGGACAAGAAATGTGTTAAAAAGCATTTAAGACTATTAATATAGTGTCGTTTGAATAGTTAATACATATAAGAAATTAAATTTTCGTTACTATAATAAAATGTTTTAATTATTGAATTAAATTGTTGTGTAAAGTACTGAAGACTAAATGCTAGAAATTGTATCAATAAAGTTTATATTCGACATTTAAGATTTGCGACTCTAAGAAATTACTTGTAACGTTGTGATTTTCTGTATAATATTTTATGTGATGTTAAAGTTTTAGTTAACATTACATAAAGAATACAATTTTTATAATACGTCTTGTACTTTATGTGAAATATAATTGTTTTATGATATTGTTATGGGTAATAAAGATATTGGGCGATAAATGGAAATGTAATAGGTAGTGAAAATTATAGAATCGAAATGGTGTTCGGTGCACGGTTCTCTTTACATTATAGCTTTCGGGGTAGGTTAGTGAATCGCTCAATTTGCAATTCGTTCTGGACCAGTTACAGTTTCGATTGAGGACTTATAGGGAGGTAGGGACCTTTGGGACATTGTAGGCCAACAGTTCCCCTGTTGCAAGTTGAAGAGGGCACAGAAACAAAACGAGAGGGCCGAAGTCATCGGGACACGAACAGGGGTTTCAAGGAAGGCTTAGGAATCTGAATTATCTGGAGCGACCATAGCTACTGCATTAAGTGGGGCTACCACCGAGACATCTATAAACATGGGACTCGGGAACTTCCGTGGCAGCGAGAAGCAGCAGGACGGAAGCCGGTGGTACGCAGTTTAACGTCGCGCAGAAGCCGGTCGTGTCCAGAAGTGAAGTGATAGCCGAGAACGTCGGTCAAGTCGGAACCGTAGAGCGACATCGATGAAAACGGTAGTCGAGCAGCTAAATGGGAATGGAACACGAAATGGTAGAACGTCATCGCGATCAGAGAGGATGAGAGTCGAATTTGAGCGCGGATTAAATTCGAACGCTCAGAGCTCGAATGAGCAGAAGCAGCTGCTGCTTTAGCTAAAGTCACGATTGGAGATAGCACGCGTCAAAAAGAGGTTATCGACTCGAGCAAGAATGAAGAAGAGCGAAATACGCAAGTGGAAACTTTCGTAAGGAGTTGGGTTCAACATTCCATAATGAGCGCGTCTGTTGGCGTAACGCAGTCCGACACTGAAAAGGAAGCGTTCAAGGGATCACGCCGCGTGGAGCTCGCGAGTGAGATGTCAGTGTTGACCGACGCGATTACCAGTGCAATAAAACCTGGTGGTGGTGGACCATTTTCGAGTGTGCAAAATGTGGCACGCCTCAGAAAAGCATTGAGATGCACCGCTAAAGAATCAGTAAGATCAATGTTTTTTACTTTGTGTGAACCAAACGAAATAACGAACTGTTAACCTTGTATTTATTAGCCTTATTGCTGCACTGCCTCTTAATAATGTTGACTTCGCCTTAAGGTTCAGTGCATAAGTAGCTGCCTCACGAATAAAATGGTTGGAGTGCGACTCTGAGGCTTTGAAGAAGTTCTCAGAGTTTTTTGAGAAATTGTAAAACCCTGGGTCTCCAAACTACGAGAGTCGTGTAGAAATGAGTTTGTCAATTCACAAGAGTAACTAGCATTATTAGAAAAAGTATTAAATTACATAATTTAATTGTTTAAAGTGATGTCCGTTATCATAAGAAATGTGAAAATGTATGATGTAATAAACGTTTCAGAAAGGTTTTATAAATTAAGACAAGAAATGTGTTAAAAAGCATTTAAGACTAATTAGATATAGGTAGTGTCGTTTTAATAGTTAATACATCTAAGTTAAATTTTCGTTACGATAATAAAATGTTTTAATTCTTGAATTAAATTGTTGTATTTGTGTATACTGAACACTAAATGCTAGAAATAATTGTATTTTCTAGCATTTAGTGTTCAGTTAGTTCATTGAGTAGTCGCCCGATCGCGGAGCGCACACGACGTGACTGTCGCACTTACACTTAGTACAATATTTAAAAATTGTAAACGCTCATAAATATACAAAAAACCCGAACAGTCATAATAACAAATAAGTGATTGTCAAGAGTAATATTTTGTGTTACAAAAATATCTTGAAATTACTAGATAATCAAAATAAGTTGTGAATACAAACAAACCGAACAGTTGTAATAACAAATAAGTGATAGTTAAGTGTAATAGTGAGTTATAATAAATATACTTTAATTAGAAAAGTTTGTCTGAAAAAATCTTAAAACGGCCTTAATTTAAAAAAAAAAGTGTAATTATACAGTTTTGTGTTACAAAAATATTTTGAAATTGCAACATAATCAAAATAAGTTGTGAACAAATTCAAATTCAATTATATTAAAAGAAGTGGGTGATCTTCAAATTTTTGTTCATACAAGTTCGTTAGTGTAAAAATCCGTTGTTTTCTCAACAAAACGAACTTTGGACCGTGATGTAAACAAGTATTGTCGCTAATATATTGCAGATAATTATAGATAAGATAAGTATAGTAAGATAAGACACACCTTTTTCGCTTGAAATTACGTCGGTTGCATAGTTCAGTGGTACAATACGCGTTCAATAATTTCAAAGAATAAATACTTTATTTCCTTTTCTTTTTTGAATTTTTAATTTACTGTATAAAATATTAAGTCAATTTTTAAACTTTTTATTTAAAAAGTAATAGATCAAATAGAAATTACATAATATATATTATATTGACTTTCTCTCTAAAATGTCATCACAGAAAAACAAAAATTTGTCAACGATTTCCACAAAGACAATTATGAATATCTGCACCAATTGTAAGAAAGTGATCACTTCTAAAGAGATTTTAAAATGCTTTATTTGTAATGAAAAATATGACTTAAATTGCATAAACATGTCAATTAGAAGATTTAATGCTATGAATACTGAAAAAAAATCCAAATGGAAATGTGATCAGTGCATACATAAGACAAACACTAAAAAAATATGTTCACCAAATGCTGATATTTCTCATAGCGTGAAAAAACAAGTCAATATCTCAAAAAATTATGTTTCACAACATAAAATGCTGCATAAAAGTAAAAACGAAACTGAAAGCTTATGTAATCAACCATTATATATAAATTCCAAAACAGAGTTAAAAATCGCACACATATAGAAACGTACTCGGACCCTGAAACTTCCTTATCATCCGAAGATTCAAACATAATAAAAAGCTTACCTGATCTTTCAACATTAGTAAATGATGAATCTATTGAGTTAAAACAAAGAAACTCGGAACTACAGCTAGAACTAGACAGTGCGCATATGGAAATAGAAAAGCTTATTCTTGAGAAACAAGAACTACAAAAAAGAGGTTGACAAATTAGCAGCAAAAACAAAAAAATTACTTATGACATGTTCATCAAACAGTCCTAAAAAAATAAAACTTCAGAAAAACGACACATTACTCCAAACACCTAATAATTTAGATTTAGTATTTGGCATTTGGGTTGTTACACAAACACCTAATAAATTAGATTTAGAAACGCATAAATCTAATAAATTGGATTTAGCAACGCCAACAGCGGCAATAAAAGACGTCAGGATAGATGACAAAAATAACTAGTTAATGACTAAAAACAAAAACATAGAACTAGAAAACAAGTTGGAGGAAGATATTCAGCATCTACGTCAAATAAACTGCAATATTAAAAAAAGAAAAATATTTATATTTGGAACGCAACAATGTGTCGGCTTAGCCTCGGCGTTGCTTCGTTCGAGAGAACATGGTAAATATAAGGAATATGATGTAATCGGTTATACAAAACCTGATGCCTTAACTGAAAATGTACTAAAAAGTTCTGTTCTCAATCAAGAATATAGTCTGTCAGATAAAATTATTATTTGTGTTGGTGAAAACGATAAAAATCCTCTAGCTGTTTCATCAGAATTATATATAACATTAAAACAACTAAGAAAACATACTGTAATTATTTTAAATGTTTTAAATAGTAGACATTTAAATACAGGGATGATAAATTCCAATATTATAAAAGTATGTAGTCAATATAAAAACTGTTATTTTATAAAAGAAAATTCCCATTATAAAAATCTATTCAACACTTGTAAAAGAATTAACTATATAATTGATTGTATAGATTATGATCAACAATTTTTAGACTATTCCCAACTAAAAAATATTATTAAACAGCGTTCAACACTAATTAAATGTTCTGAATTAATTAATAAAGTACATAAGAAAGGTACAATTCCTTACTATTTCGCAAATATAAAAAACAAAACAAAACGTAATATTTTAAATGAAAAATCTGGGGTTAAATTGGATAGAATAGAGAGTGTGAGTGACATTAAGGAACCTATAAAGTTAAAAAAAGGAACTATACCATTTTATTTTCCAATCATAGAAAAAAACAGTTTATTTCGAAATTAAGGCATTAGATATCTGTAGAAACAGTATTTTAATAAACGATAAAATACATAAAATAGGAAATTCCTATATGCGAGTATTTCACCAAAACATAGCAGGATTACTAGGAAAATTAGATTTACTTGAGGCGTGCATCGCAGAATTTAATTACTCTGAAGAACCAATAGACGTGATTTGTCTAACAGAAACATTCGTAAAAAATGGAGATGAAGATAACGTAATTTTTAAAAACTTTAAACTGGCTGCCAATTTCTCAAGAAAACAATCAAAACGTGGTGGTGTGTGTATTCTTGTAAAACATAATTTCAAGTATCGCATCTTAGATTTTTTACAACCGTTTTCAAAGGAAATTGAGTTTGAATGTTGCGGTATAGAATTGACTGAACAAAAATGTATTATTATTTGTATTTATAGAACACCAAGCTCGGAAATAAGTACATTTTTTACGAAACTTGATGCTTTATTACATAAGCTACGTGAAAAAATAAACAAAAAAATTATAATTGCTGGAGATTTTAACGTAAATATGTTAATTTTGAATAATAAATCTAATAGATTAAGAAGTTTATTAAAAAGCTATGGATTTCAAATGCATATAACGGAAACAACGAGACAACATACATGTATAGACCAAATGGCAAGTATATATACAAGGAGCTATCGGAAAAGTCCATGAATTAGGTCTATCAGATCACACGGGGCAAACATTAAGTTTTTTATTAAACGATACAACAAAATCTCCTGGACATTATTATATATTTAGAAGACAATACACGGAAAGTCATATTAGCAGTTTCTGCAATCACTTAAAATCATTATCATTCTTGGACGTATATGAGGAGGATAACATAGAAAAAGCATTTACAAAATTTTATGACACGTTTGTACTAATTTATAAGCTGTGCTTTCCCATAAATAGAGTCAAAGTAAATAATTTTGATCAAAAATTAAAATGGATTACAAATGGTATAAGAATTTCCTGTAGAACCAAACGTGCACTTCGCTATAAATATTATAAAAATAAAACTCACGAGAACAAAAATAAATATACACTTTATAGAAATATCCTAAAAAAAACTATTTTACTGGCACAAAAGCAGATGAATCACAAATACGTACTTAAATCAAAAAATAAAACTAAAGCCACTTGGAACCTAATAAAAGAAAATAGTCAGACACATCCAAATCTCATTGATAGACTCACAGTCAATAATCAAAATATACTAAATCCCGTTGAACTAGCTACAACATTTAATCAGCATTTCATCTATTCCATAAAAGACAGAATATCACATAATAGTGCGGATAAATTAAGCGTAACTAGTCTAAGAAATCAATCTAGTATTTATTTAAGGCCATGTGATATAACGGAAATTAAGAACCATATTTCATCACTTAAAAACACAAAATCTACTGGCTGTGATGAAATACAAACAAAAGTTTTAAAGAGGTGTCCAGAAAAAATCATAGATGTATTATGTTTTCTCATTAATAAATCGCTTGAAACGGGAATTTTTCCTAAAGAATTGAAATTATCCGTTGTGATACCATTGCATAAAAAAGGTGACAGAAATAATATTAATAACTATAGACCAATTACATTAATATCAGTATTATCAAAATTGTATGAGAAAGTTATGCAAAAAAGACTTTTAGACTTTTTTAACAAGTTTAACATATTAAAACCAGAACAATATGGTTTTCAAAAAGGTAAATCCACGACACTGGCAACTTTTTCCCATATAAAAATCGTAACCGATTATATAAACAGAAAAATACCAATTTCTGCAGTGTACTTTGATATGAGCAAAGCATTTGATAGTGTTGGTCATGATATTCTCTTAAAAAAAATTGAAGCTTATGGTATAAGAGGGCCAGCTTACTCCTGGATACAAAGCTATTTAAAAGATAGAAAACAATGTGTTGAAGTACAACAAAAAGATAAAAAACGGCAAGACATTTTAAAATATAAATCTTTGTACTTACCAAATGATTACGGAGTGCCACAAGGGAGTGTCTTAGGTCCTTTACTGTTTTTAATTTACATAAATGACCTACCAAATTACATCAAACATAATACAATATTATTTGCTGACGACATTTCTATTTTAATACCGAAAATAAATTTTAATGCTAGTAATAAAGAATATGAAAATGAAATAAATAATACTATTGTAAATGTTGTTAAATGGATAAAAAACAATAATCTAAGCAGAAATCTATCCAAAACTAAATTTATGCAATTCTACAATGTTAAAAGTAAGCCGCAATTACTTGATATTAAGTATAATGGTGAAAAAATTACTGCTACTGAATGTACCACATTTTTAGGTATTAGTTTAGACAAACATTGTAATTGGAAAAATCACATAGATAAAGTTTGTTCTAAAATATTTAAATTTAATTTTGCTCTGCGAAGGCTAACTTCAATCTCGTCAAGAAACACTTCTCTTATAGCATATCATGCGTATGTCGCTGCTGTATTAAGATATGGTCTCATATTATGGGGAATCTCGACTGATGTAAACCGTGCTTTTATAGCGCAAAAACGGTGTATACGAGCAATTTGTGGTGTCGGGCCACTAGTTTCTTGCAAACCACTGTTCAAAGAATTGGGTGTTCTTACGTTACCATCCATGTACATTTTTGAACTTTCAATATTCGTAAAAAAGTATCCTCAGTTTTTTACTAGATTTAAAGATACAGTAACATATAGTACCAGATACCCAGATAAAATTATTTTACCTTCATTAAAAACTAGCCTGTACTCAAAAAATTGCTATGTGATGGCTATTCAAGTGTTTAATAAAATCCCAAATGAAATAAGGCAATTAGATTATAATCGATTTAGACGTAATTTATTAAAGTGGCTTTTAGAAAAACAGTTTTATTCGGTAAATGAACTGCTAAAAATAAAAGAACGTTTCTATTGACTGTAAAATGCTGTTTCTTATCTGACTGTGTTTTAAACGATTAATATTAAGATTGTAAAATGATGCATGTTTATTTTTACTTAAATTTTTGTATAATATATTGGTTATATAGACTATTATTCTAACCATAAGTTAATTAGTAAATAAGTTTTCATATACCAAAATTGGTGAAATATGTGAATCATTATTATTTTTATAAGAACATCTTTGTACCATATTTCTTGTGAATAAATTTATTTATTTATTTATTTATTTATTTATTTATCAATAAAGTTTATATTCGACATTTAAGATTTGCGACTCTAAGAAATTACTTGTAAGGTTACGATTTTCTGTATAATATTTTATTAATTCTTTATGTGATGTTAATGTTTTAATTAACATAACATAAAGAATACAATTTTTATAATACGTCTTGTACTTTATGTGAAATATAATTGTTTTATGATATTGTTATGGGTAATAAAGATATTGGCTATATATAATATATATTAACAAGCTGAAACACTTTTGATGAAAAGAAGCCAAGACAACAGTTTCAGAGAAGACATCAAGTGCCTTCAGCAAGGGAAGCAATTAGAGGGCAGCAGTTAATTGAAAGGGCTTGACGTAGTACTAGAAAACGGTCTCCTGCGGCTAAAAGGGAGAATCGACGCGATACAGGGTGTGACCAGGGACTACAAACGACCCATCGTGCTCGACAGCAAGGACAAGACAACGAAACTCATCGTAGAAGAATTCCACTGCCGCTTCAATCATGGAAATCACTTAACGGTGATGAATGAAATACGACAACGCTTCTGGGTACTCGGTCTAAGGTCAGCAATCAAGGCGGTTCAGCATCAATGTCAATGGTGCAAAACAAAGAAAGCAAGACCGCAAGAAATACCAACAGGCAACTTACCGGCGGAAAGGCTGATGTACGGATATCCTCCTTTTACGTGCACGGGCGTGGACTACTTCGGCCCGATGGCAATCACCGTGGCAAGATGGCACGA